TTATTAAGGCCAATCAGAGTGCGTGTTAGAATGAAGTAATATTATTAAGGCCAATCAGAGTGCGTGTTAGAATGAAGTAATATTATTAAGGCCAATCAGAGTGCGTGTTAGAATGAAGTAATGTTATTAAGGCCAATCAGAGTGCGTGTTAGAATGAATGAAGTAATATTATTAAGACCAATCAGAGTGCGTGTTACAAAGAAGTGATATTATGAAGGCCAATGATTTTGACTGACTATTTATCTATTAGATTATTATTTATTTGTTCAATAGATTCAATAGCAATTAAGTCTTAGGTGATAAAAACACGTTCATATGATATCATGGTTCGGTGGTTGATGTTTGGTTTTTCCTGGTGTTTAGATTGGCTGTAAAACAACTCGGTCAGTTAGATGATTGGACGGATGAACAGCAAAAAGCACTGATTGAACAGATTAAAAAGGCCTGGGCCAAAGGCGCGAAGGACTGGGACAAAGCGCAAATTCATGAACTTGGATTTTTGCAGAGTAAGATTGTTTTAACATATAGATAGAATTTTCTTGCTTTACATTTTGCTGTTCTTTCTGATTCTATAAACTCACACATTAGAGCGTCTAAATGCATGATATTTCTTGTTTTTATGTTGATAGAGGGTTTGTCTACCAGCGATATTCCTAAACTTAATCCTAAAGTAATCGATGCTATCAAACCTGAAGTGATTAAAGAAATGACCGTCAAACAATTACAGGTAAGACAACTTGATCGTTAGACAATATCATGATATTTGCATGTAGGAACAATTTGAAACAATAGAATGTAACATTACAAGTAAGGTCTATGTCCATATAATAGAATATGTCATTTACAAGTAAGGCCTAGTGACCATTACAAGTAAGGCCAGGTGTCCATATAATTGCCGTCTCTATCGCCCAAAACGCGTTTATGCATCGTCCTAGTTCCATTCAATCTCGTACCCAGCGCCCTTGTCCCTCTTACTGCGCATGCTCGACGAAAAACAAGAGCTCTGGAAATATCAAACAACGGACGTCAGAAACTGGCTATTTCACCCATGCGCAGTAGAAACCCGATCTAACGGCTTTATTTTACTGATTTTGCTCAAGAAAATCGGCTAAATGAAAACCTTCGAAGTCAGAAAAGGGATTTTTTTAGACCTTAGATGATAAATCTATCTTCTTCGAAGCTATTTTGATATCTATTATGATCAGATAGTAGCAGACAGTGACGGTTAGTGATTATCATGGCGTGACAGTTCGTCGCCTCGTTGTATTCCATTTTATACTTAATTGATCATATTACTCTCAAATTCCTACTTCATAGACTTAATAAATGCTTTTAAAGGAAGAATTCAAGGTGAGGTAGCGAAATACAGAATGATTTGAGTGTTTTTCTCCGTGATATTTTCACTTCCGGCGGCAAGCTGTTTATTTTATGAGCCAATCAGAGAGCAAGAAATTTTCGAAATTTCCAGAGTCACTGTTTTTCGTCGAGCCTGTGAGCCTGCGAGTAAGAGGGACAGTGGCGCTGGGTACGAGATTGAGTTCCATTAAGTAAACTGATAACCTAGCGCATTTTTGTGGGCAGTTGGAACGATGATATATCGACACTACACCTAAGAACACGTGATCATGAAACAAAATGTGATACAGCTTAGAACACTTGATCATGATGAATGGAGAAAAATGAATGAACATTTGTGTATATAGTCTTTCACCGCTGACCAGTACCGTTCGATGGAGACACCCCAAGTAGCTGCCATCAGCATGTCAAAACAGAGCATGCTGACCGCTGAACAAAGAGACGCCATCAAAACCGTGACAGATAGCGACCCAATTGAGCAAGACCCATGGGATAAGGATGTCAAGTCTACTGGATTCCATGTGACTACAAGCGTGCTAAGCATTCTGGGCTCGCTCCTTGTTGCATTGTACATTAATCACTAGACACCATTTTATACCGGAAATGACATCATATCACTCCTTGTTGTATTGTACATCAAATACTAGGTACCATTTTGCACCGTAAATGACATTCTATGATTAGATTAACGATACAACAACAAATGCAATGATAATTTTAAGCCAGTATAGAGATCACCATTTCACATTCCACCGCGAAGAAAATTTTTGTATGAACAGTATTTATTAATTATAGAGAAATTGCATATCAAACTATAATGACAAACATGACAAACGCTATCAATGAAGTCTTCATACGGATTAGACTCGTCACCGTGAATTAGAATATTTTATATATGAATAATAAATAATACAATACCCTGGGAACCAGAGGCTGGATTTACTCGTTCTTTTAGTTTATATAAGGCGCGAAGCGCCGTCCTTGAGGCCGAAGGCCRAACCGTAAACCAGCCTCTGGCGGCACGGATAGCAAATCTCACTTCCATGTCAGTGTTTACATTCAAGATCTGAATGTTGCAGCTGATTGGTCCGTTGATATCAGAGCGATATTATTGGTTGAAAGTCAAAACCGGTTTTCAATCAGACACTCGACGAAAGATAAGTTGTCAGAATCAAATGTAAAATGTTACGGGTCACTGATCTCCGTCGTGTATCAGAATTCTCACAGAATGTAAGCTAAGCAGAATCCCCAGAAGATGTCGTTAAAGTAAGACTTTACGAATMTGCAAAGTGTGTAGCTGCAGCCTCTCGAATTTGTAGACAGGGGATTTGCAATTCATCTAGAGAAAAGATCGTTTTTAGAGAAAATATTTGCTTTTGAATTTATAGCGAGCAGCTACATATCTCACCTTCACTTGGAAGTTAAAAAAACTCGAAAGTCTAAAACTTTTAGGACAAATGTGAAAGAACTTTATCGTAGAATCTTCGTCGAGTATCTGATTGAAAACCGGTTTTGATTTTCAACCAATAATATCTTTCTGATATCAACGGACCAATCAGCTGCAACATTCAGATCTTGAATGTAAACACTGACATGGAAGTGAGATTTGCTATCCGTGCCGCCAGAGGCTGGTTTTGCGGTTCGGCCTTCGGCCTSAAGGACGGCGCTTCGCGCCGTATATAAACTACAAGAACGAGTAAATCCAGCCTCTGGTTCCCAGGGTAATAATACAATCAAACAACATATGATACTTTTATTCTGAGTATGCTATCTTGAATAACAAAGACATTCTCATTTTTGGTCGATCTTTACTTTAAGATTGCGTAATCACTGCAAATTTTCTACCACTCACTCGCACACTTTCCTGTAAAATCATTGTTGCTTTTGAAGTTTTCATCACTTTTATTAATTCGCGTAGTTGAGCTTACTGTGCAGGAAGGTTGAAAGACACGATTGATAAATTATCCACGCAAAAGGCTCTATTTAAAATAACTTTTTGGGTGAAATTATGATGCTACGTAATTGTATGGCTTTGTCTGATAAGGTCCCACTTAGGGTGTCGGGTTATGGTAGATTTGAGTCAGGTCAGGTTCGAACGAATTCGGGTTGGATTAGGGTCGAATTAGGTTTTGATTATTTTTGCATTGAAGCAAATTAACCACTTGAATATCAAATAGTTCCAGCATGGCACCGACGTAAGGATTTTCGAAGTATCTGGCAGCTATATATGTATATACAATAGAAGCGAAGAGAGGATTTTCTCTCGAAAGACGTTTAGGGCAATTATACTGGAATGACTGCAACATGAAAGACAAGAAAGAATACAATGCATCCTCGCAAACCGCTGGATCCATCCTTGTGGTGTGTATCGGGTTGAGTCAAGGTTTTCTGGTTCTTAATCATCGATGTTCATATTTCAGCATATGATTCTCCTCTTGCTTTCGCATACATGAAACAACAACAGATTTTGAGCTTGCCAAATGAAAATATACACCCGTCCTGAAATATAGGAAAATCATCATAAAACGAGTTTGTTAATGAAGCAAAAACATTACTACGATGGAAAAGGGTTCAGGCCTGACATGTATTATTACTACTGTTGGTCCAAAGTTTGGATCCCAGAAATATCCCTACTTTGATCTCTGATCTCGGCTGATATGGATTCCGGTCCTAATCCCAATCCCTAGTCTAAGATCCCTGAGCACGTCATATCCCGATCCTAATCCCAATCTCCAGTCTAAGATCCCTGAGCACGTCATATCCCGATCCTAATCCCAATCCCTAGTCTAAGATCCCTGAGCCCCAGGGGGGGGGGGGGGGGGGGGGGGGGGGGGGGTACTCCCATATATTTGCTATACGGGGACGTGCCGCTGGCCAGGGTATGGTTTTTGGCCTTGCTGTCTTAAACAGGGTATACATTTCACCCGAAATTGTCTTAAACAGGCTCTACAATTTAGATAAAAGAGACCGATATAATTTTTTTGTGTGTCTTGGACAGGGTAATATTTTCATAACACCGTAGAAATACCGTTTCACTGTCCCAGAATTAACGTGTTATCAAAAACTTCTTATTGTCTTTGATGGATGTCAGTATAATTGCATTTTTGATGGTTGCGGCGTAGATAGCTATTCCTTATTTTTCCGATTTGTCTTGAACAGGGTATGGATTTTTACTTTTTAGTGTCTTAAACAGGGTCAGGGATTTAGACCGCTGGCGGCACGTACCTATCCAAAATGGGGTCGAGTGCCCCCCCCGGGCCCTGAGCACGTCATATCCCGATCCTAATCCCAATCCCTAGTCTAAGATCCCTGAGCACGTCATATCCCGATCCCACGCCCAAGATGACAAACACTATAAATCATGTCTTGACCGTGCGAAGTTTGATGGTCATCACGACCGCACTAAAGTAATTTTGAAGAGTAATTTAAGATACTCGTAGTAGTAGTAGTAATATTACACTGATAACCTACCTTGACCAGAGAAGGAAAGCCTACCCAGAATTCATAATTAGGACAAGCTTCAGGTACAGATTGCTTGTTTCTGACTTTAACGTTGATAATGATGCCTATGACGACATACAGCAGCAACAAAGGAAAGAATCTATCAAATAGAAACATGAACCAGTTAGATTAATTGGTATGGCACACCGGCCGACTATCGTGGTCAGCGCGGTTCTGTCACACGCAGTACCAATACTCAGGATCGTTAAAAAGGTGTTGTTGCCTCCTCATGGTTATCATGCATTGCATCTTCTAGGATATGTGGGTCCCGTCGCCCTCAACTTCTCTATACTGCATTGGGAGAATATCTTCTTATGCTGAATGAACCACTGAGGAAGTTACAACACTGTCCATGAACCTCTTTGGGGTTACGCTTAAATTGACGGCGATCTCGATTCATTGACATTCATCTCCCTAGTTAACTGATACTACGTCGGACAAGCGAAAATATTCCTTTGATATACAGTATGGAAAAAATATTGATTATGTAGGAAGTTGCCTCGTGTAATATGTTTCTAATATTTTCATCAGGAAAAGCAGGATGACTGATTCGATTAAATTGTGTTTGTTGGTCGGACAGTTTCAATTCCACTGGGAAAGCTGCTTATTGTCTGGTGATTAATCTACTAGTATGCGAAGAAGGGATCGGTCTATTAGAGTTCTGTGGTGCATGCTGCACTCTTCACCATCTACTGGTGAAAGTAGAATAAGTAAATAAATACATAGTTTGTATATAAACCACTAGTTTTGTCACTGTATCCTGATCCTCATGGTCAACATCAGGCTTTACAAACAGAATTTTTAAATATTTCAAAAGCAGCGTATTTCTCAAGTCACTGCAAGGCTGAGGAGTGCACAGTTTTACAGCACCTTTATACGAGAGTGCGTGTTTTATCGGGATATATAGATTCAAGCCGCAGGCGAGAAGCTATACTCGGTAAAACACGCACTCTCGTTCTATAAACGACTTCTACAAATCCAACTTTCAGAAATTGTTAACATTTTAGAAAAAAGCTAAAAAAATGTAGTGATACAATCTCTGCAACAGTCTACGTTCTCTTTCGGTCAGCGACGGTCACGTTCTAGTGTTGGCTTGCGGTAAAGCGCTGATGAACTTGAACATCAGTTCTATATATCTGATATAGAACTGATTAATAAAACATCAGTGCTTTATCGGGATATAAAGGCCCATCATGTGACCCAATAGTTCGATGCTCATTGGACTAATAGCTCATGAATTATTAAAGAGTTCTAGAAAAATTCGTAGTCAAAACAACAATACATAAAAGAACTCGAGACTTGAGCTGTACTTACATGATTAATAGAATACTACCAGTGCTGAGACCACCAGATGATGACGACGACGATGTTGATGGGCATGCACTCTTTGCTCGAAGTTTTGATTGCTTTAAATCATGTATATAGCTTCAATTTATAATTGATAATAATATATTGTATTGACAAGTTATGACCCTTTATGTTGCATATAAATTGCTAACTTTTGCTAATCTTTGAAACTAATCTTTTTGTATTAAGTGTTAACTCAGCCCCAGCCGGGAATTTTACGACTGAATTTAACAAACGATCAAATTACACTCGCTTTCCTTGCTATTTTAGCGACAACTTACTAGAAAATCAGTGGTTACTAGCGACAGATAATTTTTAGTTCCATTCACTTTACTCACCTTTTTTCTTAATCTTTCCTAATTTCACCAACTTTGCTTGTTAAGTTTTTCTTACTATATTTACCGAACCACACATCAAAATCAAATTCGCGAAAATTTCCAAGTAAGAATTACCGTAACTTTATGCGACATGATGCATGCATACTGACTCCTAACTCATACAAATCGTGGTTGTGTTACATAAAAACATTTCAAAAAGAGAAATAAAAATCAGCCCTTTTATTATGAACTAGTATTGGTGGTATCATTATTAAGCTGTATCACTTACATATATACTGGTGGATGTTGTGTCAGGAGGCACATATTGATTAACAGAGCTCATTGTTCCTTTCACATTACTGGACTCACATATCAACGTTATTTCAGTTGACCTAAAGACAACAACAAGACATCGATGAATACATTTATACGGTTCTTAATATTTCCACACATAACTTAGAAGTTTTACGAAGCTATAATTTACAATGCGAAGGATGTGTGCGAACAACCTGAAAGTCAAATAAATCAAAGAGAGGAATTGAGACAAAAGATCCCTGTTTCCTCTAAATTTCTATCGTTTTACGCAGACAAAAATGATTTCTTTGCATGCCCTACACCCCTCAAGCTGTATGTATATAAGGAAAAGTGTTCTAGTACTCTAGTGTAGCACAATATGGTCTACTAGAATGTTTTGTACCGAACGACAAGTGGATTGATGTGCCGACTCGGTAATAGGTTATTCTGACTTTCAGTGTTTGTTTGTGAGTTTCTATCTTTGTTCATACAAAAGAGTTCTTGGTCTCGTTATATGAATGGTATCAATATATCCTCGGAGATTTCCTGTCATCAATTCAAAATGAAATAGCATTAATGCAAAGTAGGTGTTTATAATTTTTTTTATTCATTTTACATGTATACACATGCATTTTTACATCCTCGCGATTTTTGTCCTTCCCCATCGGATCGTTGGTTAACACGGTTTGGCGTTGGCTGTAGGCCTATTAGGCTGTTTCTTCTGTCCTGGCGTCTTCCACTTATACACACAGCACTTTCTTTGCACCTTCTCGAAAGTCAGGCAGAAATATAATATAAATATGGGGACTGAAACCACTATTGTGAAAAGGCCAAACCAAAGTGATGTCCAGTTTTTACTTGAGAACTACTCCAATATTGATAAATAACCCGAATTCCGTTCATTGTAGTGAAAGCAAACGATGGAAGCCAGCAAAGCGTATAGAGAAGTATACAGATGCAATAATCATTCGTACAGCTGCTCATGTTAGACGAACTCGAGCTCTTCGCTGTTCTTTCGTTGAGATGGGCGTGCCGGGTGGCCTGACGTCTGGATAGTTCTTCAGTATTATTATTAAAACACTTAGTGCGAATATTGCAATAACCACAAGAACACTTAACTCAAAGTAGGCGAAAGCTTCTGCAATTATGAAAGTCCATCTATTAAATCTCCCTCTGAAATCATATATATTAAGAAAACAAAGCCCTAATTTGTCACTTCGTAAATAATACAAGTTGTAAGCTACGACTGTCATGAAAATCAACCAAGAGATACCGAGAACTGCCACGCGCTGTCATAAGCTATATATTCGTGATCTCTGCAATGTTTGTCTTGTTGCTCTGAAATGTTCAATGCTGATTATCAAAAGAGTGACCAGGGAGACTCTATAATATGAGACATACTGGAGAAATAGAGTAACTTTGCATAGAATATCATTCAAGATACTGTCAGGATCTATATGACAACAATTTCCTGCTCGAAAGCAAGTCGATTACTTCATATGCTTTCATAAGAGAATGGAATGGACATCGGAAACAGCCAGAATGTTGATGATCAAATGATGTAGATTCCTGCGTACTGTGTATTTCATAGCGAGTGTTATGACAAAGATATTTTCTGCAAGTCCCACTGTAATCAGTAGTATCATAGCCCTGCGTTTCGTATCCTTCTCTAAAACACTGCCAGGACTATCAAACTTGCATTTACCATGGCTGTAGTCTGCCAAGCCGTAGTTAATACGTTTAGTGCTTATAGAATATTTCATCATCTCTTGACTGGCTCTATATCAGTACTGCGAGGTATCTGAAATAGTTTCTAGCTTTATATTGACTAATACACGCGACTGTTTGCCCAGCTGTGAATCGAATCTGAGTGATGATGATTTCTTTTCATCAATAATCAAACTTCGAAATCATTAACAATTAGAATGTATTTACTGATGAATATTTATCTACATCAACAATTAGAATGGTTGATCAAAGGCGGTATATTTTGCTGTGATTGGAGCATGGGCCTTTTTTAATAAAGCTGTATAAGCAATTCCTTGAACATAAGGACAGGGTAGCTATATAATATTTAAGATTCAATCGTCTAAAAATAACGTCAGTTACTAAGGATGTTGCCATAAAAATTGCTGACCAAATAGGCAAACAACTTGCCAACATTACTGAAATGGAGTTTCAAGGCAGCAATTTTGTGTTCAACCGCGGTCTTTTTTCACTCAATTTTATTATTATTTTTGGTCTGCAAGCTTTCGTATGATACATATAATATGTTGTCCTGTTAGCTTACAAAAGGACGTCTCAATTTCAGGCATTCGGAATTAGCACAATCCATAAGGTTACAGCTGCTTTCTATGATGATATAGATTCGGTAGTAAAACAAAAGCTTGAAAACGAAGATTCCCACGTACATGAAAGAAAATGTTATATGCGATCAAGAGTTTTATCGATACAAATTGTTCAATTTGGGTTTCATGTACCACGGAGCAACGGAGCGCTCTTGAATTCAATCGAGTTTTAAGCTTTCTCCTTCATACGTAAATGATAAACACTAGTTTTGTATGCAGTTGATTTTTAAAAATACCTTAAAATTAAATTGATTGTTTTTTTCGAGCCTGGCCAAGATGTCTGATGTTTTACCTTGTGTAATATGAGTAGGTTGTTTCTGGGTATTTCAGAACAACATTGTTGTTGCTATCGACAGTAAACGACGGGCCCCCTGTGTTGCACGGATAGTAGGTTACTTGTGCTCCAGATACTGCATCTATTTGGCACATCTAAAACAGAGACATGCAAATGATCATTTGGATACTAACAAGTTGYAAAAGGGTCTTCATGTAATAGAAAATCCAAAATTCTAAATCCTAAATAGGTCTCCGAATCCGCCGATCCGCTCATTTTTTTCTAAAATCCGCCGATCCGCGCAAAGTTTTGCTTTAATCCGAATCCCAAATCATGATAGCAATCGATAATAAGAAAATCATAAATTCTTGCTAATTGAGGAGCCGCTGATGCCATATTTACCATAATAAGCTCAGGGAAGACCTTTCCACACAGCGCAGAGCCTGTCCCGCGCAGTGCAGTCCGTTTTCGCCCGTTTATAAGGCCTTCTTAGTGACTTCTTATGTTATTTTTTTGTAGTCAACAATCGGCAAAATTCGCAGTCACGATTATCGCCATTATAGAATCCGAAATCCGACGTTAAATTTTCAATAAATCYGTGATCCGGTACGTTTTAAGAATCCGGCAATCCGCTCTATTTTTTCTTTAAATCCCTAATCCGCGTGTCATTTTAGGCCCAGATCCGCCGATCCGAAAACCTATTCACCCTCCCCCTTTTAGTAAACGAAAAACCCGTGCAATAACACAGGAACAAAATCGATTTATGGAATCAGCCTAAACTTGCAGCTATTGTGGATACATTATTTGTTATAGAGAAATAGAAAATTCCTATTTTAGCTTATTTTAGTAAAACATTGGGCCGATAAATTAAAAACGCAAAATAAAGCGTTCGTCTTGAGTGATCTTCCTTTTTAATACGTGCATCATTTAATTGGTGGGCATTTGGATAAACTTGGGAAGAAGCTAGTGCTAATGTGTGTCTGATAATAAAATTTTGATCAAACTTTAGTAAAACTTACATTTGCATCTTTGCATACATCATCTGGTCCTTTAGYAAGAGGTGTACAAGGGTTATAGCTGTACGTGTACTGAGAGGCTGATGACCCGCCTGCGTCTCTAATGCCTGTAAACCTGTACAATGTACCACAAAAAACAACTACAGATAATCTGCTTACTTTGTCTACTTTACACCGAACACCGCCMGATATCACGAAGGAAACAATAAAAAAGTATTTAGAATAATTCAGTTACTTTCGAGCTCTCCTCCCCTTCTTATTTTTCCTTTTTCGTGTCACTAGTCTCTGGCCCTGGCGGTCTATATGAACGTTTCAAAGGACACCTGGGGAAAAGGCTAAAGCAAACGCTTAAAAATTCTTTATCTTCATTTGCATTATGAATCGATGACGCAAAAAAAATAAAGATTTTTCTATTTTGGAAGGCGCAAATCGTTTTCAGAAATATGATGCCATTCGTGTAGCACTCTTGACGCCTTCTTCTTGAAGGGTACATTTTGCACGTGCACTATGAGGACCCTTCTCTTTTACGGCCCTGATTCCTACTCTATAACTCAGGCATGCAATGGTAGATTACCATATGATAACTACTTTTGACAGCTGTAATTTCATGGCTTTCCATATCATGCATGATTTTCAGTGATACAGTCCTGCTATAATGTGGGTTATATCTCAATAGGTGCCGTATCAGTATGTATCAAGTACGCACTGTTTTCTCCACACAAGAAGTATTTCCGGTTGACCGCATAGGATGGTAAACACAGATCAATCCTACAATCGAGGGCCTTAACGTTGAAATAGATTTGCTTGTACAGAAAAACCCTTTAACACAATACCTAGAAATTTCTCTCAAATAAATAGGATTGCTCTTGTTGTATCCTGTTCAAACATATTGGACACGTTACCTCAAAACGGACAGAGATATCGATTACAGAACAGTACATTATATGTTACACGGTGACCAACTAACCTTGGAGTGCCGTCCTTGTTATTAATACCATTCAAATCAATGATTCCACTACCATCATCCATCTCACATCGACAATTGTCCAATTTTTTACACTGCTTGGCGTAAACCATACTTAGACAAACCACAAGAACTACGAGAACAGGACGAGCCGCCATGCTGAACACACAGGTAACCCAGAATTATGATTTTTAAAAACAGTTTATTAATGATTTGCACGGAGCGAAATATTACTTGTACTATAGAAATACAGATTTGGTTGAACGACTAATAAT